TCGCCGGCCAACGAGTTGGTGTTTTTTCAATGTATGCTTCAGACACGGGTCACGACGAGGCGTTCCCCATAGCGACCCCTAGAGGACGCAGTTCGAAGTTCCCATGGAAGGGAACATCTCAGCTGTTGATGACACTCAGTCATTTAGTTTTGGAAAAAATGCTTTTCATAAAGTAAGAATAAAACTTTCACATAAAATACCTTCAATATGTGCTGATATAACAATTTTTAAAGATATATATTTAGTGACCTTTGACCTTTTTATCATGGATGATGTTGTGTTTCTCATAATAATGCTTCTGTTCTTCATATGCAGCTCAATCATCATGAATCAAAAAAAAAAACCTACAGATGAATTAAAAATATCTCATGCACACTAATTGATCTTCAGTAAACCTGACTTTTATTAAATTTGCTGAACAGTTACCAACAATAATACAATGTAGCTCTGTGAGTAGCACTGTTTCCTTACAGCACGAAGGTCTCTGGTTTCAGTCACTGACCTGTAAATTACATATAAAAAAAAAAAAAGTTTTTTACTTTTGAAGCCCCTGGCCCTGGATTCAGCAATAGTTACTAAAATTAATGATCACACTTTATTTTTTTTATTAGTTGCTTGGAAAAAAAGAAGCCTTTTTATAAAAGTAATTGCTTTGGAAACATCATTAATAATGATCTACAGGCAAATGATAGAGAGTCACTTTGCATCGTCAGCACATGCTTCAGTGCTCTGAGAGTGTTTATAGTGCTGTGAGTTTAACACTTCATGACTGAGAGCAGAACAGAACACAATCTTCATCATCACACAAGACACAACAACAACAATGACCAACATCATCATCCTCATCTGGACACTGGCTCTCTGCATTCAGGGTAAATATTTTGTACTAAATTACACTATACACATCTCATGCACAGTCCAAGAACCACTAAATGTCTAAAGTGTCTTCTTTCAGAGATCTGGGGCCAAGTGACAGTGACTCAGAATCCAGAAATAAAATCCATCAAACAAGGAGAAACTGTTACAATCAGCTGTAAAACCAGTCAGCCGATTTCTGGCTGTAGTAACTGTGTGTCTTGGTATCAGCAGAAACCTGGAGACGCTCCTAAACTCCTCATATATGCTATATCAAGCCGTTACACTGGAACTCCATCTAGATTCAGTGGCAGTGGATCTAGATATGGAAGTGATTTCACTCTCAATATCAGTGGAGTCCAGACTGAAGATACAGGAGATTATCACTGTCAGAGTTACCACAGCATCAACAGTAAAGCTGTGTTCACACAGTGATAAAGAGTCGTACAAAAACCTCCGTCAGTCAGAGTCACAGTGACTGCACTGATACAGACAAAATCCTCCGTCAGTCAGAGTCACAGTGACTGCACTGATACAGCTGAGAGACACTGCAGCTGCTGTTGAGAGGATCACAAACAACACAATGACATTAATATTTAATGTTATTAGAAAATGTGTAATTTAACATTAATTTATTTACTAAATATAGCAAACATAGTTGTTGTATGTTCTGTAGCTTATTTCATTTTAAAGAACAGTTAGTGCTCAGCCAGTTCAGTCTTTGTGTCACTCCTCTTGTGTTTCAGATCAGAGTATGAGAACGGAGTGGAAACCGAGGCAGATTTTTTAATTTAGATTTTTGATTGCAGAGCAATTGTGTTTTTTGTCTCATAATTGTTCACTGATTGATCAAAGTGGTTTCGTTCAGCATTGAAAAGAAATGCAAATTTAACTCGATTTTGTCTGGAAGGTAGGTTAGTCTGTAGACATTTCTTGCTTATAGAAATGTTATATAAAAGCAATGTCACACTCACAGTTATGCTGTGGCTTCATGTCTATGGTACAGTCTGTGCTGATATTCAGTACAACTGCACGTTTTGTCATGTGATATTGCTTAAATGTGGCAGGATGAAAGAAAACAGCTAAACACCTTCAAGCCTAAGACAACTTCAGCATGGACGTGTTTAATTCACTCTACATTTTGAATGTAAAAAAAAAATATAATCAAAACAAATATAACTAATAACAATACAGATTAATGATAAATGACTGTCATACTTATTTATTTAAAAAAAACCTTTAAAAAATCATACATTTCCCCAAGATCATTACCGATTTGAGATGTTTTAGCTGCATGGACACTCTTGTAGAATTTACTCCATTTGCAGGTGTTTTAATAGTTCATTTTGACAAGAGGAATCAATGTAGATATTTTACTTACGCTTCCATAGAGTTTACCTAATTTATTAGGATTTAGTTTCAATTTGATTCTAGCTCTGTGTTTAATCTGACTCCAATTTAAAATTAATCTCAAATTTAGACTGAGATGTTTATCAGTTTAGTTCAGTTTCTAATTTGGATATTTAAATATTCTAATAATCTCTTACTCTTCAGTTATTTGTTTATTAGGGGCCCAATGTCACACAGAGTCTCACGATGGCTGGTCAGGATCTCATGGTCACAAACTCCCATTTCTGATCTTAGTCAGAGGATGAAGGGTTGACTAATACCTTTACGTTTGGGCACCCCATGCGTGCTCATACAAGAAGTGTAGTTTGTCATGTTTTACAACTTATTCATGTTCATACAAGTCGGTGATAGACAGATATCATGAGGTCCCAGGACACATGTCTTCTGCTCATGACCTTCAGTTTGACCTACTGTATTCTGGACACAGATTTGCTGCTCCAGACTCCATTTTAATCAACTGGAAATAATGATTTTAGAAGGAGGCTAACTCAAATATAACATTTTATTTGTCACATATGTATCATGCCAATTACATAACTGAACAATACGAAGCCAATTCATAAATGATAAATGCATAGCATCAATTGCTCAAAGATGAATCTAAGAGTGAGAGATGCAAACCTGACAGCAGTCTACTGCGACAGCACAGCCAGGGCAGCAAGAAAGAGAGAGATTTCATTTGTTATTTATTTATTTATTTACATTCTTTGGAATTATTGCACTCATATCAACAAGTTATTATCACCCCATTATTATTCTAAATCTAAATGAGTTTTCCTTCATAGTGCTGCTCCTGCTAAGCACCCTCAAAAAAAGCTGTAATGAATTATCCAGTATGTGTTTGTGTTTGCTCTGGAAAACGTGTTTTTGCAGTGTTGAGCAGAATAGCCAATCACAGACATATCCAGTGCTGAGTGCTGAGTTCTGCAAGCTGGAGAATCATCTTATTATAACAAAGTGTAGACATTGTGTAAATAAAATATTCATTGTGCAGTGTAGAGAGCTTCATTGCTTATAATACAATTGTGTGGTTGATTTTAAGGGAGCACTTTTTGGCTATATACAGTATAATTTGGAATTTGTATAAAACCTTGACATAGTGATCAACCAAAGCAATGAACTGGACTAAAGAATATGTGAGAATGTGAATCAAAGCTAGAGCACCCTCAGTGCTTTAATTCTTGAACAAGGGCTGATAATATAATACATAATTTGCATTTGCAGCTGTACTAGTAGTTGCGCATTTTTTTTTCCATTGCAGATAAATAAGAGAAAAAAAAACAGAAAACATGCTTGCTTATGCTTTTATTTTAGTGTGATTTTTTTCACTAAACAAAACCTCTAGTCTTTCACGTGCATCTTTAAAAAAAATTGTGAGTGTAAATGGGGGCGGCACGACAGTGTTTTGCCTAAAGCGGCAGTTGAGCTTGTTCCAGTCCTGCATATAACAAATAAAAAACACAATATAAGATGTAAAAAAGAGACAATGTATGCCCTTCATAAGACAAGCAGTGTGGAGGATGATGATTCTGTCAATACACCCGTACACAAGTTTGCAAACAAAAGTTAAAAAACAGTTGCCGGAAAAAAAGAAGCCTTTATATAAAAGTAATTGCTTTGGAAACATCATTGAGAATTATCTATAGGCAAATGATAGAGAGTCACTTTGCATTGTCAGCACATGCTTCAGTGCTCTGAGAGTGTTTATAGAGCTGTGAGTTTAACACTTCATGACTGAGAGCAGCACAAAACACAATCTTCATCATCACACAAGACACAACAACAACAATGAACAACATCATCATGCTCATCTGCACTCTCTGTATATGTATACAAGGTAAGGTTTTCATGTTAATGTTAAGTTGACATAGTTATGGTATTATGAACAGTGACATTTACAGTACATATAGATCCTGTTTTTAAACTCTTGCTACGTTTTTAACAGGTTTCAGGGGACAAGTGACTGTGACTCAGACTCCCTCTGTAAAAATGATTCAGATTGATGAATCAGTCACTATAAACTGTAAAACAAACACAGTAGTGCATAATGGCTGTGTAGGTTCATATACTTGTACGGCCTGGTATCAACAAAAACCTGGAGAAGCTCCAGGTCAAGAGAGTCAAACACTCCATCTAGATTCAGTGGCAGTGGATCCAGAACTGATTTCTCTCTGACCATCAGTGGAGTCCAGGCTGAAGACACAGGAGATTATTACTGTCAGAGTTTACACTGTCCTAGTAGCTGTGTGTTCACACAGTGATAAAGAGTCGTACAAAAACCTCCGTCAGTCAGAGTCACAGTGACTGCACTGATACAGCTGAGAGACACTGCAGCTGCTGATGAGAGGATGACAAACAACACAATGACACAGCATATCAAACATTTCAGAGACTATTTATTTTTATGATATAGTTGTGAAGCAGAGATTTATTAGTAGAAACAAGGAGAGAGTAGTCAAAACCAGGCGATGGTCAAAAACAAGGCAACAGAGAAGCAAACAGCATGCAGGAGTCAATTAAGATCAAAACCCAAAGATGACAAAATCCAGAGTCATAAAACCAAGAGTGTAGAGTGTGAAACAAGCAACACTTCACACTGAGTGAACAAACAGTCAGGGTTTAAACAGGCCATTCTAATTAGACTGATGAGAATAAACACCTGAGAAGAATCACATCAGAGTTCAGGTGAGTGTGACGTCTGGTGGTGGAGTTAAGAAGTGACAAACGTGTGACAATACCAAGGAAATATAATAAAATTGTACTTTATACTACGGGGCCGTTGAATGCTTGAATCTGATTGGCTGACGAACGTTCTGAGGTGTGCAATTATTTTCAGGGAAACGCACGGCGAACGTAGTTCCAGGCAGCTCTCTTGACCGCATTACAGTTCCATATCACTTCACATAGTTAACTGTAATAACGGAAATTAGCATACAGTACCTATACAGCACACAGGAATTACTGCAATCACACGTGCTCACACACGCACACTACGGTGACGCAGTTTGCACAAAAAGGTGTTGTCAGCGCTGCCCTGACGATTTTATCAGTTAGCCTATATAGTGTAGCAACGTAAAGGCTACACATGACATTTCTCACTAGCAAGGTAATAACAGCGCTGTTTAGAGACGCTGCTGCAGAACTGTTGAGGGACGCACAGTGGTAGCCTAATTCACACAAGCGCTCTCTCTCTCTTTCTTTCTCTTTCTGTGTGTGTCAGGTGTACATTACTTTTCTAATTATTCAACGGCCTGTCGTCAATTATTCCTTACGTATATCACTTACTATATTTCACATTGTCTAGAAGAAAAATAAATGTGTGGTGCTTGTTCATGCAAAACTTGCCATCACAATGTAAACAATTTTCCAAGATTAAATCTTGTCATACTGATTTGTTAGACTTTCTGATTTGTTTTTCAAACACAGCTTCATTGTAGATGAATGTAGTTCATCATTTATTATAAATAATCCACTGAATCTGCAGATTCTTGGACAGAGAAACAGCAGTCAGAGTGATTCAGTAACAGCTGTGAGTGACAGAGACACTGAAGGACACACATCAGAATGAATCATTCACTGTGTCTCATCACAGAGTCGACAGTTGATTCAAACATTCAGAAGGCCAGTATAACTGCTGAGAGTCTCAGTGTGAACTGATGAATATGAACAAACCTCATCTCTCCATTAGTCCAACTCTACTGACTCATTTCAGAGAATCAAGAGTTAAAGAGTCAAACTCATATTTGAGTGATTCTGTTCCTCTCAGAATAGAGCAGCTCCATCAGCAGATGTTCAGCGTCCTCACAGGAGCTTCATGATACAGTCAAACTACACAGAGTCAACACACAGAGAACCAATAGTGATCTGAGGAAATCTTTCAGTGTTTGAGCTTCATTATTTGACTACACAGAATTGTTTCATAATTTCCTCCATTTGCAGGTGTTTTTATGGTTCAGTGAGTGAGCCCTGACCATTTCAATGTAAAAAAAAAGAAGTCAAAATATGAATCAAAACAGACACAATAAATATTTATTATCTGAATGAATATTTAAGTGAATGTTAATAGAATTTTGAAAAAAAAACTTCATTATAGTTTTAAAATATTTAAAGATTTTAATGTATACAGTTAAATAACATTGTAACAATGTATACATTGAAATAACATTTCATCCATAAATGTTATATAAATATTAATAAGTTTATCTATTTGATCTCTATGAATACTTCCTTTGACAACGATCCTAAATCCACCAAACCCTTAATAAACACCTCATAATCTAAACATTTAACTCTGAAAATCACATTAGAGCTCTGCCAAACAGTCAAACATTAAGATTGTGTATGAATGTATGAGCAGATGATCTTTAATATCAAGTCTAGTTTCAGCCCAGTAAAGTAACCATATTTTCCAAGAGAATCACCAGGATCTTTACAAAGTCCTTTCAATGAGTGTGACATGTGTGGTTCTCAAACAAATTAAAACATATTAATTTGACACATTATTGTTTAACAAAATTAAACCCCAGTTAAATAAAAGAACAATACATTAATATTGTAAATTAATAGAAAGATGTTGAGTGGTTTATTCTCTGTACACACAGAAGGTGGCGTCACTAGCATGTGAATCAACACTTATCTGACCATCAGCAGACATGAGCATTTGACAAATATAGCTGATGATCAGTTATCTTCAACATATCACTTTAGATTGCGTTCATACAGACAAAAATAAAGGACTGAGTGCAGTACATATTCATAGATACAGTGAAATATAATATTAAAACTGCTGAAGTTTCAAGAATGTTTAAAATTGTGAAATCTAAATTGGTATCTAAATGTCAAACAGTGACAGAAAGATGTTAAATGTATTGAAGAATATAGCCATTTTTGTCCATACTGGTTGTTTTTATGATCATTTATCAAGTGTTTTGTCCAGCAGTAGAGATTAATTGACATTATTAAACTTGTCAATTTAAACATCTCCCTCTTATTTTACTTTGAATGAAACATTTAATTTTAACATTTTAGTCGCTATTAGTGATGAATTTGTTGCCGTTCCTCATAAATCTTTCAGTTTAATTTAGTTAAAGATTGTAACATGACGACATATTCAGATTTTTGCAGTGTCTCGTTAAAGACTGAAGACTGTGGCGTGAGAAATGGTCTTTTAAAATTCTTCGAGAGTGAACTAGACTTCAAGTTAATGATTTAAATAGCGAGAGTCACTTTGCATCGTCAGCACATGCTTCAGTGCTCTGAGAGTGTTTATAGTGCTGTGAGTTTAACACTTCATGAATGACACTGTTTATTATAATAACAGACACAACAACTACAATGACATTCATCTTTCTCTTGATCTTAAGAATGCATTTTCAAGGTAAGGCATCATTCTGTTTTATTAGCTTCTTTGTGATTTTCTGTAAAAAGCATCTTTTTTTCAGTTCAGAAGTTTCATATGTTTTAATTGTTCTTCAAACTCTACAGGAAGAGGTGACTGTAATTCAGACTCCAACAGAGAAACATGTTCAGAACGGACAGACAGTCACTCTGAGCTGTAAAACCAGCAGTGCTATTGGACGTCAGTCAGACGGTCACTGTAAGAACTGTTTCTCCTGGTACCTGCAGAAACCTGGAGAATCTCCTAAACTTTTAGTGTACTTCATTAAAATCCTCCAGTCAGGAACTCCATCTAGATTCAGTGGAAATGGAGCTGATCATGGAACTGATTTCACTCTGACCCTCAGTGGAGTCCAGACTGAAGATACAGGAGATTATTACTGTCAGAGTGTACACTATATCAGTGATAGCTGGGTGTTCACACAGTGTTAAAGAGTCGTACAAAAACCTCCGTCAGTCAGAGTCACAGTGACTGCACTGATACAGCTGAGAGACACTGCAGCTGCTCTACAACACAATCACACACAACACTGATCAGTGAACAAACACTGATCAGACCACAATCACACTCAACACTGATCAGTGAACAAACACTAATAACACTGATCAGATCACAATCACACACAACACTGATCAGTGAACAAACACTAATAACACTGAACAGATCACAATCACACACAACAGATCAGTGAACAAACACTAATAACACTGATCAGATCACAATCACACACAACACTGATCAACACAAACACTAATAACACTGATCGGATCACAAACACACACGACACTGATCAACACAAACACTAATAACACTGATCAGATCACAATCACACACACAACACTGATCAACACAATCACACACAAACACACACAACACTGATCAGATCACAATCACACACAACACTGATCAGTGAACAAACATTAATGACACAAAACAAATAGATTAAGTTTATTGTGAAAAAAGTTGATGTTGGCTTGACAAAAGTTTGTCTGAATGCATAACAACTTTAGGTTAGAACGTTTTACTGTCAAACAAAATCAGAAAAGGTTAGAGAGAAAATTAAAAATTTAGACCATTCAGGCCCCATTACATAACCCATTACACTGATTAAACAAACCAAATTAGATTTGGAAGGCAAAATGATGTGGTTGCATCTTTTTATCTCATGTTTGCTTTTGCTCATACTTTTGTGTTTCTGAGAAAACTTATCACACTTTTTCAACACTCAGTTGTCATTTCACTTTGGACTGCCGTGATACATGCAAAAAGACTCATAATATAATTTTGCAAAAATGTCACAATAGGCATGAGTCTATCTATCTATCTATCTATCTATCTATCTATCTATCTATTCTGAGAATGGACTCAATTAACCACGGCAGACACCACTAAACCACAAGAGACCACATGTCAAGACTATAAGTGGTCCTCAGTGGTCTTCAGATGCATGCTAGGTTTTTCTGGCATGTTGCTAGGCATTGGAAGTATAGTTCTGTATGTAGTTGCATAAGTGTTTGCATGGTTTAGCATGTTCCTAGGCATTTGTATCATGTTGTTATGCATTGCTAGCGTATAGTTTGCATGTTCTCGTATGTTTGAAGATGCTCTTGTAGACTGAAGACTCTTTAATTTCAATAAACTTGCAGATAATATCGTACATTTTGTAGCAAACAAAGCAGTTCCCCACAAAAAATAAAAAAAGAAATGAAAAAAATCAGCTCCTCACCACTAGTAGAATCCTGCAGGAAACGTATATAAATAATAGAGAATTTGTTGCTTTTTTATGTTCCTGAATTCCCAGCATCCTGGAGATATCTTCTATCAATTGTATTTGTAGATTATTTAATCTTATTATTTACAGTTGATCTTGATAATGAATTAACCCTCTACATGATACATGGCTTGAAAGAACTCTTCAGAAGTTCCAGCATGAAGGTCCAGGCTTCTCCATTCACAATGAACTTCTGATTGTGTGTTCACACTAGTTCAGTTTGGTCAGGACCAAAAAAAGGACCATGCATTTGCTCATTGCATGTGTGTTCATATGGTAGTACTTTTACAAGCTTATAACTAATAAATAGCTTAAGAAATGGGTGAAGGAGATGGTAGTACTTTTACAAGCTTATAACTAATAAATAGCTCAAGAAATGGGTGAAGGAGTCAAAACACTCTTGCACACAGATATCTTCTGCAAGGAGATGACGGTTCTGACGCCAGTACTGAGCTGTAATGGGCAACATAGTTCCTATGATAACAAGAGCCAGGTATGCTTGAGCATTTTGTCCCGTTTAGGATCACATCTTGTGACAGCACGTCCTGAAAAGGTGGGTCTCTGTCTGTTTGTTTGATGTGCACCAAGGTCTGGATGGCAGCTTTCACACTTAAAATGAACCACACTAACCGAACAAGTTTGTTTTAATCGAATAACATTTCAACATAGTAAATCCTGCCCACCTCTTTGCATTGTCAGCACATGCTTCAGAAACACACACGTGTTTATAGTGCTGTGAGTTTTAATGAGATCAATTCATAACACTGTTGCAGAAACCTTCTTTTGGCAATCAGGTATCATTTTACAGCTCAATGTCTATTACAGTATACAACATAATTAGAGCAGATACATGTTACAGTAAATATAGCAGATACAGTGAAATTCAACAATAAGCTTTACAGTAAGAAAATATTATTTTCATTACACTGCTGTAAAGAGATCTTACAGTACAGTAGATGAAAAGCACTAGAAAGGAAAAGGTCAAATACCAAAGAATTGCATATGAACACAACAGAATGTGTCATCTGTTAGTTCTGCAAAAATACAGTACATGTAAGAAGTACTGTACTTGGCTACAAATCAGTTCAGCAGTTACAGTATGAGTTTGAGGGTGTTCAACTTGTTCTTCAGTATTTACTGTATATATAAAAAGTAAAAGTTCTCTCATCTGAAGTACTGCTACTGTTCTGTCATTATATTTGATCTGTAAGTAGTATTGAAAGCCTGTAGATGAGCCTGTAGGCCAGCTGTCCTCATGCACAAGAACAT